AGAATATAGAAGGAGGAACACTCTCCAACCCATTCTTATGAGGCTTGCAGAACCTTGATACCAAACCAGATAAGGAAAAAGGCAGTAATTCCACACTCATCATTTCTACTCAGCATCATACCAAACATCCCAGCCAGAGCAATTAGGCAAAAAAGAAATAAAAGGCATTAATTGGAAAGGAAGAAGTAAAACTACCTATATTCACAGATTACATGATTTTTACATGGAAAATCCTATGGAATCCACTAAAAAACTGTTGAATTGCTAAATGAGTTCTGAAGGTTACATAAAACAAGATCAATGTACAAAAATCAACTTCTGTACACTTGTAACGATCTGAAATGAAATTTTAAAACAATCCCATTTATAATAGCTTCAAAACAAGAGATGTGGGACTTCCCTGGTGGCACAGTGGTTAAGAATCCGCCTGGCCAATGCAGGGGACACAGGTTCGATCCTTGGTCCGGAAGATCCCACGTGCTGCGGAGCAACTAAGCCCATGGGCCACAGCTACTGAGGCTGTGCTCCAGAGCCCATGAGCCACAACTACTGAGCCCGGTGCTGCAACTACTGAAGCCCGTGCTCCGCAACGAGAAGCCACTGCAATAAGAATCCCACGCACTGCAACCAAGAGTAACCCCCGCTCGCCGCAGCAACAAAGACCCAAAACAGTAATGAAAACCCAATGCAGCCAAAAATAAATAAATAAAATAAACTTATAAAAAAATTTTTTAAATAGTGACATGTTTAAAAATTAAAAAAAAAAAAAAAAGATTGAACTCAGCAGCAAGACTCAGTATTCTGAGTGTTGAAAGAGGGATGCATACACTTTACATTCCAAACATGCAGGCAGAAAAGCTGACCCACACAAACAATAGTGAACCCAGAGAGAAAATGAACCGTCTGCCCTGCGATCCACATGGTGTGCAAACCAACTACACACAGAGCTTTAAATCTTGTGACACCACCAAAAGGCTCTGTCATGAAGGACTTGTAAGAAAACAGCACCCTAGAAAATTTCCCTGTTAACTGGTAACCCCCCAACTATGAAAATATACTCCCTGTAAAAGGTATACGTGGCCCTAGTGGAAAACCATTACGTGTGTTTTTTTTCAAGTTAAATATCCCTGGGTACTGACTTAACACGCTGGGAGGGGTATAAAAAGGTCTAAGGAACAGTCTCTGGCCTAAAGGCACTTGCAGCATCGACAGAAAACCCTTTATCACAAAAGTATCTAAAACATAAGAAATAAAAACACACAATAGACACAAGTCAATACAAAATTAGTTGACAGAGCAGTCATATTGATATTACTTAAGATGTTCTGACGAGAAAGGGAAGAAAAAAGAAATCACTATTACCTAAAGTGGTCAGAGAAGGCTTAAAGGTCCAATAAAATATAAATAGATTGGACAGGAGAGGCCAGTGTGCACACCACACGCATGCACACGTGCACGCACACACACGCACACACACACACAGAGCCCCCCCACACACAGAGCTATGTATGTGTAAGAAAAACCATGGGAGGCCACAAAGTCTGGCCAGGTCGGGGAAGAGGAAACTAGTTGAGCTAGCATTCCACCCACTTGCACTGGCAACAGAAGAACTGTATTAACCCCATACAAAAATGACTGTGGGTTTGTACATAAAGATTTCCCTGCTTGACTCACCATAAATATAAAGCAAACAAAATTGGCATGATGAGAGCTTTAGATGTATTTTTTTAATATATATTTATTTATTTTATTTTATTTTTGGCTGCATTGGGTCTTCGTTGCTGCGCGCGGGCTTTCTCTAGTTGCGGTGAGCGGGGTCTACTCTTTGTTGTGGTGCGTGGGCTTCTCATTGCGGTGGCTTCTCTTGTTGCGGAGCATAGACTCTAGGCACGTGGGCTCAGTAGTTGTGGCTCGCGGGCTCTAGAGCGCAGGCTCAGTAGGTGTGGCGCACGGGCTTAGTTGCTCCGCGGCATGTGGGATCTTCCAGACCAGGGATCGGATCCGTGTCCCCTGCACTGGCAGGCAGATTCTCAACCACTGCACCACCAGGGAAGCCCACTTTAGATGTATTTTAAATCAAACATATGTCTATTCTCACATGAATCTATAAACTATACCCAGTAATTTTAAATAGAAACACAAAACCTACAGGTATCCATAAAATTTTAGAAAAGAGCAAAAAGCACAAATGTTAACACCAGTCGTCCCACTTCTGTGGAATCACAGGAGACTTTGCTTCCTCACTCCTTTTCTGTACTTTCCAGGTAGGATTTAAAAAAAAAAAAAGCAAACAGTTTTTGTGGGGTTTTTTTTTAGGTATTACTTTTTTTTTTTTTTTTTGGTACGCGGGCCTCTCACTGCTGTGGCCTCTCCCATTGCAGAGCACAGGCTCCAGACGCACAGGCTCCGCGGCCATGGCTCACGGGCCCAGCCACTCCGCAGCAGGCGGACTCTCAACCACTGCGCCACCAGGGAAGCCCTAGGTATTACTTTTTAAAAGCTATTTTAAAAGCACGTACATCGATATTCATAAATGTATGGAATACCATGGGAAGAATCATAAAGAAACTAGTAATAGTGGAAAAATGGGTGACACGACAGTAGAAGGTCAGAAGATGTACTTCCATCAAATCCCTTTCTGTATCTTTTGAATTCAGTGCCACGTTTACTACCTATTTAAAAACAAACACCAGGGATTTCCCACTGCAGAGGGCACAGGTTTGATCCCTGGTCAGGGACCTAAGATCCCCCACAAGCCACTGCACAGCCAAAAATAAATAAATAAATAAATAATAAAAACACACACCATTTTTCAAAAACCACAAGAATGTGAAATGTGACGGACATTTAAATTCCCCTTATTTCATCTTCACAAACTATTAATGTATGTGGAAAGAGTGAACAGCTGTGAATTATAAATCTTTTCCTCTAGCCTCAATAAAATCTGTCAAAAATCTTGCAGTATTAATTGCAAGAACATATCCTTAGGAGATAAATACGGGTCTTGTCAGGGAGACTTTCACCAATTAGTGATCCCAGCATGGTCCACAGTGCGCGTACCTGGCCACCCGACTGTTGACTGTGTGACCTGCCATTCACGCCACAGCTCACGAATCACGTAGGGCCTGCGGCCTCGAAGGGGCCCAAGACCCCGAAGCTTCCTTCTGCTGCTATCATGTCCTCGGCAGGTCATCTGCTCATCCTCTGTGGCTAAAACGTACCTGTGAGGTGACTGGATGCTGGACACTGGTGTTTGCGGTAAATACAGCTGTACTCCCAGTTCTGCATCCTCTCCCCGAGCTGCAACAGCCTGGGGCCGGGTGAGTCTGAGTGATGAGGGGAACCCAAAACCCACTCTGTGACCACCAACTAAAGCAGCACAGTGCTCCGTCTCTACGCAGCTCGATTACCAGAAGTAATAACGAACTTACTATCACACCGTCAGGGAACACAAGGATCCAAAAGTGATCTTTTAAACACTCGTGCTAGAAGTTCGCTTCACAGGGCTGTGGCCCACTTAGTGATCGTTTCAGGCCCTCTGCAACCGATCGGTCATAGCAAGTAAGTGGCCGTAAGGAAGGAAGTCACACAAGCACTTGCAAGATTGTAATTAGAAAAAAGTGTTTTTAAAAATACTGAGCAGAATTATACTTGACGGGGCAAACATGTAGCCGTTGAAATTAACTTAATCAGGCTTCCCAGTTTGTTTTTAAAGTTTGTTCCATTCTACAGAGCATAAATATTAAATGCTTTAAAAATACCCTTCATTAGAAATACATTAAATATAAAACACACAGTTCAAACACAAAACAATGCATTATGGGCTCATGAATACATTTATAAAACACAGTAATGAAAAGTTAACAGCTTCAAATAAGTGGATAATACCATCCAAAGGCTTGCCCAACAAATGACATTTTAGGAAGGAAAAAGCACAAGCAATGTCAATTAGTGTTATTCTCCCGGTAGTACAGCATGAGATTAAAAAACAAATTTTCAAATTCTAGTAGTAGTATTAAAATTAAGTTACTTTCTAATCTGGATTAAAAATAGCACAAAGTCTTTAAAGTACTTAAGTTATTAGAAAAGTTTGACTTTCCAGTTGGCAATGTGACCTTTAAAATACGCCGAGAGTGCAAATCACAAGTAACAACATGTAGCCCATAATGTCACACACTTCTTATCACAAGTCTGGTGCCATGCTGGCTGGTACACACGAGACTGGCCTCCACGACTCACAACAAATGTACAAAACTGTGATTCTTCTAAGAATCTCAACATGAAGTCCAAGAACAAACACGTTCAACAACAACAACTAACCTGTGGCTTGTGTTTCCTTTTTTAAACAAACAAGCAAACAAAAATAAACAAAACAAAAAACAATAAAACAGTATAAATCAGATTTGTAATCTCCTCAGTGAAAATTCGTTTTTGAAAGTGCTGTAGCCAAATTCATCTTCTTTTTCAGCTGAAAGGGTGAAGCACAATGGCCACAACTTTGTTACAGACTAAAATCCAACAGGTAATTCCAACACCACCTAAAAATAAAGAAATTCAACATGAGAGCATGCCAGGAGTTCCGCCCACACTTCCTGCCTCTGCTACCTCTGACTTCTAGGAAATAGAGCACTTCAGTCCTTTCTGAGTAGTGTTGGGCTAACATCAAGTTTGTGTTTCCTGGGTTCAAATTGATCACTTTTTTGGGCGGGGGCTGCTCTGGGTCTTCGCTGCTGCACGCAGGCTTTCTCTAGTTGTGGCGAGCGGGGGCTACTCTTTGGTTGCGGCGCGCGGGCTTCTCATTGCGGCGGCTTCTCTTGTTGCGGAGCACGGGCTCTAGGTGCGCATGGGCTTCAGTAGTTGTGGCACGCAGGCTTCAGTAGTTGTGGCTCTCAGGCTCTAGAGCGTGGGCTCAGTAGTTGTGGCTCTCAGGCTCTAGAGCGCAGGCTAGTAGTTGTGGCGCACGGGCTTAGCTGCTCCGTGGCATGTGGGATCCTCCCAGACCAGGGCTCGAACCCGTGTCCCCTGCATTGGCAGGCAGATTCTTAACCACTGCGCCCCCAGGGAAGCCCACAGCCTTTCTACTGATTCACAGAGCTGCCTTCTTTACTAAGCAGGAACTACTCAAAACAACAAACAATGATTTGAATTTATCTTTCCTGCCAGAGGGATGTGCATCATTATTTATGATATTAATAGACTGTAAGACCACCCTGTCAGATGATCTGTTTTTCCCTTCCCACCAAAGCATTACAAGCACGAAGGAATGTTTACCCATACCTTTCTTGCCCCACTGATGCTGAGAGACAGGAAGAGAGGCCACAAGATGCCCGGAAGGGTGGCCTCTGGCTCCTCGGCTCAGCAACACTGAGAGCCACCAGCTACAACAATCCTGGCTGGGTCCGGGAAGAGGGAGGGGGAGGGGAAGGAAGGGGCCTGGCTAAATTGGAAATCTTTGACACGGTCATCCCTTTGACTTAGCAATTCACCTCCAGCATGATCACAAATCACAACCAAAGACTGGCTGACCAGGATGTGTACTGCAGCATCATCTCTACAGCAAAAACTGGGGACTTAAATAAATATCCTTTAACAGGGAAATTAGTAAATTATGACACATCCAAATGAAGAACAGCTATTCAAAATTCCTTAATAAAGAAATTTATTAAGCTGCCCTCTCAGCACAGCCAGCAGCATGTCCGTCTCTACTCTGAAGAAATTTACTGATGTGGAAAAAGGCTTACATAATAAGAGGGGTAAAAAATTGTATGTGCCAGATAACCTTAACCATACAAAAATAAATAGAAGACTGGAAAAAATATACTACAATGTTAAGAGCGGTTCTCCACAGCTACAGAGTCTTTTTAAAAGTTTTTTCTTATATTTCTAATCATTCTACGATGACATGTACTAATTTTAACACCCAAAAGAAATTCTTTCAGAAGTCAAAGAATGGCCAATAGCAGGCAATGCTAAGAGGGGCTAAGCATAGCGTGAATTGAAAAGGAGTCACAGAATTTGGGAACCAGAGGTGATGTTTCAATAAACGGGGTATCAGACCCCAGGTATTGGGCTTGGATCACAGAGGCAGGCTTGGGTTGAACTGTAGCCCTGCTACTTCACATTTCGGTGACACTGGACACGTAAGTTCTCTAGACGTCAGCTCCTTTGCTGCAAGCCCTGTGTGAGGCGGAGACGCAGAGCTCTCACTGTGGGCGTCAGGCTGAGCTCAGCTGACCGAACCTCCCGCCACACGCCCCTAGGTCAACCTGGCCACGCTCTCCCACCGCGTCTGCCAGCGCCCGCGTACCTGCCACTCCAGTGGGAAATGCTACCAGGCGATCTAGTGGAGTTATCCACCTACTCGGCACCACGGCCACAGGGACAGAGTAGTACGTCCAGATGAGTGTGACCATCAGGGCAGCCTGCAAAGACATGGCTGGTGAGTGGAAACATCCCGCCAGGCACACAACCGATCACCACGGAAGACGAGGAAACATGGAAAAAAACCAAGGAAACTCTCCAAATCGGTGACCTCAAACCCTACCCATCCAGTCCTCACAGCCAGCATATACACACTATCAAATTAGCTGATAGAGTAACCAAGGTCTCCCCCAGCGTAAGTGTTCTTTCCTCACTGAGCACCTCCTCTAAGCAGCCAGCTTACGCTAACTACACCTCATCAGTGACAAAAGTGATCTCACGCCTCTCAGATCCTTGAAAAACTAGCTACCGCTCTCAGCCACACACCCAAGTGCAGAGGTGAGCCCTCTGCGAGGTTAAGTGGCGGGACTAGAAGCGCTGCCTGCCCTCTCCTCCTTTCCCAGCAGCGCTCGGGCAGCTGTCTTCCATCCCCTTCGTGGCCTTGAACGTGCCACTCGAGCGATCGGACCTCAGAGCGCGGCTGGCTCAACTCCTCTCCCTGTGAAACCGCTCTCGCACCAAAGTGACAACGCCTCAGGATCAATGTCCTCAAACAAACCCAAACCACCTGGGCTTTGGGGAGCTGGGCGCAAATCTTTTCCCCCAGGAAAGATCACACATAGGACTGAAACTCGGAGACCGTTTACAGCAGCCACTAAGTGTGCAAGCGGCACTTCCACACCCTCGGCTGAAGGAAGCAGCAGCAAACGGAACAAGTAAACATCCCCCAGGTAAGAAAGTTGGGAATCAAAGGTCTTGGACTGACGTGAGAATGACGTGTTCCCTGCCTGAGAGCAGACATCTACACATCACCTACACGTCTGCACAGCAGGTGACAAGCAACGGCCACAGTCACTGACCACCTTAGAAAATACAATGTCTAAATAAGCTCTCTCACTCCATACACCCCCGGGCTCCCAACACTGCACTGAAACAAAGGCAAAATGAAAGAACTCCAGAGAAGCGCATCTGCTAAAAAATCCCAACATTTAACAACTCTAAAAGACAAAGGCTAAAAGAGACTAAGAGAAACAAAGCCTTCATTTTAGTCTAACATAGAAATTCACAGAGTGTTCAGAGTTACACGCTAGCAGGACCACACGGCACAGCAGCTGTAAGTGGAAAAGCCTGAATTCCCAGGCCCGGATTCTGGGCCACATGGTTCTGGAGGACAGTCCGTTACCAACTTCAATGACCCCAGGGGACAGAATAGGACACTTACTTGCAATATGTAGAAAGCAACACTTATAACCCATTTTATCTTGGCCAACTGAGCTGTCCGTGCTTTCACTGAAAGGAAAAACAGGATGAAATGGTATCAGTCCTTAAAAAAAATGAAGAAGATATTCAAGCACACAGAAATGTTATTTCTTCTCATAAACTATTTTCTAACTATGTATGTAACATCTGCTCAATATACTTAGAAAAGCGAGTTCCCTGATGGTCCAGTGGTTGGGACCCTGCACTCTCACTGCCGAGGGCCTGGGTTTGATCCCTGGTTGGGGAGCTAGGATCCCACAAGCTGCGCAGTACAGCCAAAAAGCAAACAAACAAAATACACACACACACACACACACACACACACACACACACTTAGAAAATATAAAATAGAATTTCTTAGAAGTCATCCACTGTGCCGTTATTTAAAATAGAATCACCCACAGATTATGAGATTTGAAGCTTTAATTTTAAAAACTCTTAAAGCTATTCATCTAAATCAGAGGTTCTTTTACGAGGCACTTACCAACGGGACTACCTTTTTCTTCCTGGATTTCCCAGACCACACAGCACACTAATCCATAAGTGGAAGTCAGGTCTGTCTCAGGCCTGGGCAGGCCCCTGTGCATGTTTTACTAGCCATGCACTCTCTCAGCACACAAGCTGACCTCCTATCCATCAGAGGAGACTGTTAGGAACGGTGGCAAACATAAAGCTGAGTAAGACCTGATCCCCAGCCTGAGGTCTACACTTGGATAAGGACACTGCTGGGCATTTTTTAGAGCATTCACAAAAGCTCCTGGGAATCCACCATGAGATTTTTCTAGGCTTCTCTCAGAAAAGTGTTGAATTTGAAAATGTCAACCTACAGAGAATGAAGAAAATCAAAGATGTTAGAGGTTTCTGTGTGGTTGCGTGTTTTTTTTTTTGTTCTTTTTCTTTTTTTTTGGCCATGACTCTCGGCTTGCGGGATCCTAGTTCCCGGACCAGGGATCGAACCCGGGCCCACAGCAGTGAAAGTGCCGAGTCCTAACAACTAGATCACAAGGGAAGTCCCCAGGCTTCTGTGTTTAGAAAGCAAAGGTTCACCAGCAAATAAGGAGAAAGTAACAATTATTATAACTGGGTCTCTTCTAGACAACTTAAAAGTCTCTGTCAGCATCAGAACCTCAAAGATCAAAGCACATGTGCCGTGCCTCTTTCTATAAAGATTTCTCTGTTAATCAGCTCGTACGAAGCTCCCCACGCTACACACGAGAACAGTACCGTGAGTCTTGAGCTTATCAGTCATCTTGTTGATCTTCCTCTCCAGCCTGGCGTATCTGGCAAACTCGTCCATCATGCTGACGGTGGAGAGCTCCTGCTTCATGCCCTGGATCTCTGCTCGCATCTGTGACTCCTGCTTCACGTCCTTCTGCAGCACCCTGGACATCTGGTGGAGGTGGCAGCCGGGATCAGCCTTCTCCCCCACCCCCTCCCCCATCCGCTTGCTGCCTCCTGCAGCTGGGCACGCTGCCCTTTACCCCCACGGCCAGGCTCTGCTGCCCGGTCCCGGTCCTGCTGCCCCCGACCACAGAAACGAAAACTCCCCCCAACCCCACCCCGCCCCGTGAGTCTTTATTCAATTACGTTTTTCCTTCTGCAGATATGCCCACGGACTGCTACAGCACAAATGTATGTATCCTTCACTTTTACTGCAAAATTGTGATTACAGGGTGAAAACTGATTCCATCCCCAGAGCTTCATTCAGGTGACAAGGACTGTGCACGCCCCTCATTCCTGTAGAATTCTGTGCTAAATTAGGTGGGCCGAGTAAGGGGAGTGCCGGCGGTCAGGGATGAAGCGGTGGCAGGTGAAGAGGGCATTCCCGCAGAGGGGCTGCCTGGCGTGAGAGTTGGGGTCCCACAGCAGGAGGGGCACACGTGACAAGAGGAGGTGGTGGTGGAGGCCGAGGGCGAGTTACAAAGGATTGCACAAGTCACGGACACCTACTGAGGATACTGTGAGCCAGTTTTCTCACTGTGAGAAAAGGGAGTGAGAAACATGCATCGGGAGAGAACCAGAATAAATCCCGTGGGACTGGATGAGAACTGGAGGCACAGGTGTGACCTCGTGGTTTTCCATAGATACACAGACAGATGAAATAACAGACGTAAATGTTTGTGAAGAGGAGCCTCTGACCGCCAGGCCCCACGTGGGACACGACCGGCCCAGGCACCCTCCTGGCCGCCCGGACAGTGGAGGGGACCCAAGTGTGAGGGCAGCTGCCCGCACCGTCCCCAGACGCCCCCCCACAGACACACACATCGGCCAGGACACCGCCAGCGGCCCGGGCTACACATGCAGTGGCTGCCAGGTAGCGCCCAACAACCCACCGGGACAGGTGAAGGTCCCAGGAGAGCGAGGGGAGAGCAAGGGGACCACACTCGCACCAGCGCGGGGAGGTCCACGGGCGACCTCGTAGGGGACTGAGAATTCCTCAGGGACTGACCCGGAGTAATGAGTGTACCTCCCCAAATCAACGCCCACGGTACCTGGTGAGATGCAAAGAGAACACAGCATCCTTTATGTGACATCCTCGCCAAACACTGGACAAAGATGTCCACAGGAGGCCACTGTGCAAAGTCACTGCCCTGCGACATTCAGAAATGTCATCCTCGCAATTCAAGGCAAGACCAAGACTCCTTCTAGACTGAAGAGACATGACAAGTATGTGCTATACATGGTGCTGACTGGGGTCCTTCTGCTACAAAGGACGTCACTGGGACGAGGAAACCCTGAACGTGACGGGAGGATTGTACCTGACAGCTGTACTGCGGCCAAGGCCACTGTTTATACACTAATGTACTGGGGAAAGAGGGCACTCGGGTTGACAACTTACTTTCAAATGGTTCAGGAAACAAAACCAGCTCTTTCTAATGAATGGATAACTTTTTTTGCACGTTTGTGTTTGTTTCACATTCTTAAAAATATATTAATAAAGATACATTAATAAACTATATTAATATATTTCCCTGTACTGGTACATAGCTGGTGCACAATAAATCAGTCTGTTCCTCTAGCCCCTGATCCCCCCTGCCTGGTGCACAGCAGGGTGACCCTTCAGTTCGAGCTGGCCAAGGACATACACTCTAGCCAGATCCACCCTAGGGCAGAAAACAGGAATGCACCAAATTATCTTTAAAAATCACAGAATCATCTTAAAGAGCAAGGAGTTCATAGATGCTGCTTAAACTTTGTAAATCAAGAAACAGGGGCAGGGACTTCCCTGGCGATCCAGTGGTTAAGACTCTGCGCTTCCATTGCAGGGGGCGTGGGTTCGATCCCTGGTCCGGGAACTAAGATTCCCGAATGCCATGTGAAACAGTGAGGCACAGCCAAAAATTCAAATAAAGGTGTATTTTTTTTTAATTTGATTTTAAAAAAACAGGTGCAGGGTGGGGAAAGGACTTTCAGAGGTGATGGAGATATTCTTTACCTTGATTGTTTCAGTGGTTACCCTGATTAAGTGTGCCAAAAACTCATCAAACTGCCCATGTACAAGAAGTGAATTTCACTGAATGCAAATTACACATCAATAAACCTGACTCTTAAAACTAGGATTTAGGGCTTCCCTGGTGGCGCAGTGGTTGAGAGTCCGCCTGCCGATGCAGGGGACGTGGGTTCGTGCCCCGGTCCGGGAAGATCCCACATGCCGCGCAGCGGCTGGGCCCGTGAGCCATGGCCGCTGAGCCTGCGCGTCCGGAGCCTGTGCTCCGCAACAGGAGAGGCCACAACAGTGAGAAGCCCGCATACCGGAAAAAAAAAAAAAAGAAAAAACTAGGATTTAAAAAGAAATAGAGGGGGAACTTCCCTGGTGGCGCAGTGGTTAAGAATCTGCCTGCCAATGCAGGCAACACAGGTTCGAGCCCTGGTCCAGGAAGATCCCACATGCCGCAGAGCAACTAAGCCCATGTGCCATAACTACTGAGCCTGCGCTCTAGAGCCCCCGAGCCACAACTACTGAGCCCGTGAACCACAACTACCAAAGCCCACGCGCCTAGAGCTCATGCTCCGCAAAAAGAGAAGCCACCACGTGAGAAGCCCTCGCACAGCAACAAAGACCCAACACAGCCAAAAATAAATTAAAAAAAAAAAAAGAAATAGAGGGGCAAACACATTACGTACATAGCATTATAGAGAATACAGGCTGTGCTTCACAGATTTTTTTAATCGAAGGCTTGTAGCAACCCTGCATCAACCAAGTTTATCGGCACCATTTTTCCAACAGTATTTGCTCATTTCACGTCTCTGTGTTACATTCTGGTAGTTCTCATAATATTTCAAACTTTATTATTATTGTTATATTTGTTATGGTGTTCTTTGATTAGTGATTTTTTTTTTTTAGGCCACACCACGGGGCTTGCGGGATCTTAGTTCCTGGACCAGGGATCGAATTCCAGCCCTCAGCGGTGAAACGGCAGAGTCCTAACCACTGGATCAGCAGGGTATTCCCTGATTAGTCATCTGTGATGTTACTGCTACAACTCACTAAAGGCTCAGATGATGGTTAGCATTTTTTAGCAATAAACAATTTTTTAATTAAGGCATGTACACTTTTTTTTACACAATGCTATGCTATTGCACACTTAATAGACTCTAGTGTAAACGTAACTTTTTTATGCACTGGGAAGCCAGAAACTGCATGTGACTCACTTTACTTCGATATTCACTTTATTGCAGTAGCCTGGAACCAAACCCACAATATTTCCAAGGTACGCTGTACATAAAACAATTAAAAACTGGAAAGGCCAAAAATGGTTACTCAGGAGTGGAAAGTGAGTGAGGGCAGGAGAATAAACTTGAGGGGAACTGAAGAGATTTGTGGTTAAAATTAGGAAATGCAGCGCTTGAAGAAAAAATGAATATATTACAAGTAAAAAAAAAGAAAATTTGGAAGTGTTTAAGTTTGCAAATAGGTACCAACATTAATCCAAGACCTCCTTACAAATAACTGTTAAAATATACTAGAATTATGAATTGAAATGTAAGATTTAAGGAGATTTGAATTTTTAAAATGTTCTTAATATTAATTTTTTTAAATATTTATTTTTTTGGCTGCGCCAGGTCTTAGTTGCGGCATGTGGGATCCAGTTCCCCAACCAGGGATCGAACCTGGGCCCCCTACACTGGGAGCACGGAGCCCTAGCCACTGGACCACCAGGTTAAGTCCCAATATTAATTTTTAAAACATAAACATCTGGGGCTTCCCTGGTGGCACAGTGGTTAAGAATCCACCTGCCAACGCAGGGGACACGGGTTTGAGCCCTGGTCCAGGAAGATCCCACATGCCACGCAGCAACTAAGCCAGTGCGCCACAACTACTGAGCCTGCACTCAAGAGCCTGCGAGCCACAACTACTGAGCCAGCGCACCACAACTACTGAGCCCGCGCGCTTAGAGCCCGTGCTCCGCAACAAGAGGAGCCACCACAATGAGAAGCCCGCGCACGGCAACGAAGACCCAAAGCAGCCAAAAATAAATAAATAAAATAAATAAATTTTAAAAATATATATCTTAAGTCCTTTTTTTTTTTAATTTCTATCAGGTTTTTAATTTGTTTTTTTGGGCTGCGTTGGGTCTGCGTTGCTGCATGCGCACTTTCTCTAGTTGCAGCGAGCGGGGGCCACTCTTCCTTGCAGGGTACGGGCTTCTCATTGCGGTGGCTTCTTCTGTTGTGGACCACGGGCTCTAGGCGCGCAGGCTTCAGTAGTCTCTTAACCGCTGTGCCACCAGGGAAGTCCCCTGAAGTTTTTATGTACTCAAAGGTGTATTAAATCTCCCACTTGACAGAAGCTGATAAACTGTGTAGGGTATGGTTTTTCAAAGATCTGGAGATGGGTCCACAAGTAATTCTAAAGCAGAAAAGAAAATAAGTTTTTAAAGATCAGTGAGGGAATTCCCCAGAGGTCCAGTGGTTAGGGCTTGGCACTTTCACTGCCTGCTGCCCAGGATCAAATCCTGGTCAGGGAACTGAGATCCCGCAAGCCATCAATCAATAAACAAACAAACAAAATTTGCTTATCATAAAAAAAAATCCGGTGGGAGAATCTGGAGAGAAAACAAGGGCAGAACCAATCCTTTGCTTCTCTTGTCCCCAGACGCTGGCCCTCTGCCTGTGTGAGATCACAGCGTCCTCCTCAGTCACCCTCTGATCCTGTCCAAGTTGGACACTCCCTCTGCCAACAAAATGCCAGGACTTGCGGTGGCACTGGGGTTGTTCAAATCCTCACTCCCCCACTCAATGGCTGGACCAGTCCCATCTGAAAATCGTGCCCGACGACATTTACAGCCCAAAGGCTCCTCCCTCCCGGAACACAGCAGGCATCCCTGGGAATGGCGGCTCAGGCGTGTCCCTAACATCGCAGGGAGAGCCCTCACCCCGGGAAGGGCCCAAGGCCCAGAACAACCCCACATGCCCCTCAGCCAGGACCGGCCAAGTCGGGCCCACTCCTCGCAGCCCTGGTCCCCGGCACGGGGGAGTCCGCATCCGCCAGGCCGCACCTGCTCGTGCGCACTCAACCCCCCTCGCCGCCTCTGTCACCTCCTCAAACAGCATTTGGGGCTCATGCTGGTCCACAGCAAGAACTCTCTAGGCGACCGTGCTCCCTGGAAACGGGGAGGGTCTCAGCAAGGCCCGCAGCGGCAGGCCCTGCAGTGTCCACCCCTCACCTCAGTGGCCCAGGCCCCTAAAGAGAAAAGGGAAGCGGCCCCTTTTTTAGTGCAGCAAGTTAAGTGATTTTGAAGTTGTCAAACACAAAAGTGGCGGCCAGTCCCACACACCAAGTCCCAGAGGACAGCCTGCGCTGCACCCATGCTCAAGGTCTGCAAAGCAGGGGGTCTGTGAGGAAGGGGCCCCTGGCGCCTGAGCACCGCACGCGGCTCTCGGGGACCCGCAGGCAGCCCTCCGGCGCGTAGGTCCTGGGGCGCCTGCACAGAGCACGCGCCTCGCCCGGACCCTCACCCCTCCCTCCGCCACACCAGTCCTAGGGCGCCTGCGCAGTGCACGCATCTCTCCGCAACCCGCAGGCCGCCCTCCAGCGCATCGGCCCTGGCACGCCTGCGCAGGGCACATGGCTAACTAGGCGATCGCCCCGCCCTCGGCCACGCCAGTCCTGGGCCCCGGGGCGCCTGCACAGCGCGCCTCCGGCCACGGAGGGGGGCGCTCCGCAAGGTGGTCTTTGTCCCCTCTGCCTCCGCCTTTGGTTGTGCTGGATTGCAAATGCGTCCTGTGGCTGGAAAGGAAACATGAAAGAACTCGCAGGAAAATTCTAACCAAGTCAACGCCGAGGATTGGGCATCCTTACCCAGGCACCCAGCCCCCACCCCAGTATTTGGCTGAGGTCCCATCCCAGGACCTTGCAGCACTCTGCTGGGAGAGGACTTCTTGAACTTGAGAGACTTCCTCAAGGGCCTCTCCTGACTAATGGGAAGGTGCGCCCCTTCCCTGCTCTGGCTGAAGGGAAGAAGCTTCGGAAACCCTGGAAGGAAGGCTACAGTCTGAGGTGCAGGGGACATGGCCCGTTCCCAGTCAAACTGATCCTCACTGGAGTCTTTCCCACGTGCATCCTCAGATCAGCGCCTGTGATGGGGCAGCCTGTAAGTGTCGAGAAGCAGCAGCATTTTACCCTACACGGGACCAGCGTGTTCCTTACAGCTTTTCACTGACCCTCAACACAAACCATATCTCTTTATTACTTTTCCCTGTTTGAACACCAGCAACTGTACTCAGCCAGGATAATGTTATCCTTCTGAACCTGGCTAACAATTCTGACAGTGTTACAAGCAAGGGAAAACGGGTCTAAGAAGGCTAACTGGTTGGAGGTTAGAGAGGTTACACAGCCGGTAGGATGCAGCAAAGGACGTGACACAGGTCCAAGGACAAACCCAGTGCTCATTCACCTGAACGACAAACAGCCACCCTGATAAGGCACAAACCTCGTGCATGTGTAGACTGCAGCAGTAACTTCTTACGAGAGTGTGCTAGCTGCAGGACACAGGTTTGGTGAAAGCTTGGTGAAGGAGCCAGAGGTGATGACAGTTCTTATTTACAGCCACTGCCGCATCCCGAACACTCTCCTCCTTCCCCCTCAGCTTATGAGAAACTAGGAACAATTCACAGAGGAATACAAAACCAACACAGCCTCTTTCAGCAATTGAGGTTAGTTTTGCGTGTGTGGTTCCAATATAAGGTGAGATGAGATGGGGTACATAGGAAGAATCGAAGTGATACTGCAAGTAAGATGGGCAGGCAACCCACAGAATGGGAGAAGATGTTTGCAAATCATATATCTGATAAGGAGCTAATATCCAGACTATATAAAGAACTCCTAACTTAACCACAAAAACGCAGCCACTCACACTGGATGTGGGCCTCCAGAGAGTGCCCTTCCCCTAGGGACAGCTCCTGCAGCCCCATTAGAAAAGGGGCCACAGACCTGAACAGACTGTTTTTCAAAGATATACAGATGGCCAATAAGCAAATGTTCAACATAACTAATCATTAGGAAAATGCAAATCAAAACCACAAAGAGAAGCCACTTTGCATCCATTAGGATGGCTATTATCCAGAAAGGAAAAATAATAACTAAAAATAACAAGTGTTGGAGAATGTAGAGAAAATGGAACACTTGTGCATTGCTGGTGAGAATTTACATGATGCAGCCACTGTGGAAAACAGTACAGCAGTTTCTCAAAAAAATTAAAAACAGAATTACCATATGATCCAGCAATTCCACTTCTGGGTATTTACCCAAAAGAACTGAAAGCAGAGATTTGAATAAACACTCATACACGAATGTTCTAGCAGCATCATTCACAATGGTCAAAAGGCAGAAACAATCCAAATGTCCATCAAAAGATGAATGAACAAACAAAATGTGGTATATACATACAGTGGAATATTGTTCAGCCTTATAAAGGACAGAAATCCTAACACAGGCTGCAACAGGGATGAACCCTAAGGACATTATGCTGAGTGAAATAAGCCAGACATAAAAGGACAAATATTACATGATTTCACTTATATGAGGTGCCTAGAAGAGTCAGATTCATAGAGACGGAAAGTAAAATGGTGGTTGCCAGGGACTGGGGGAAGGGGCATGTGGATAACGCCCCATGTTTACCTGGGACAGAGTCTCAGTTTAGGAAGCTGCAGTTCTGGAGACGAAGGGTGATGAACAGTTGCACAACAATGTGAATGTACTCAATACCACTGAACTGTATACCTAAAAATGGTTAAAATGGTAAATTTTATGTTATGTATATTTTACCACAATTTTTAAAAAATAAGAAAAAAGAAAAGTGGGCTGGGGCCTACTCTTCAAGGGTCTTTTATGCAATGCTGAGTACTTTGGACACCATCTTAAAGACAAGGAAACATCAGGAAATATTCCCAACGGGGGATGGGATTAAGAGAGAATTGGCTCAGGACAACTTGGGTGATAAGGTCCTAGAATAGAGTTTTACACAAAACAGGCACCCAATGGATACCAGTAGAGTAGAACAAAAAGAAGTAGAAACCCTGTCTAGTCTTATATACCCCACCACCACCACCAATTTATACCAGGAGAGAAAAGCAGAACTGACTTCCCAGGACACTGGTACAGTGTGTGCACCCCATCTTTGAGTCTCGGCCTAAGTCAGACAGCCCCTCACTCCCACTGTCGGCCTACAGAGGGCGCCCTTCCGCGGAGAACAGCTCCTCACCTTCTCCACACACACCTCCCATCAAATATGCCACCAAACCCCCTATTCACGCTCCAACAGGCAGAGGGGCAGACCTCAGAGAATCACACACCAAGGATCAAACCTCCACCCCAGCAATCACTAGCTGGATGTCTTAGGACAACTACTAGACTCTGAGTCAAACACACCTCCTCTGGGAGGTACAGGAAGATGGCATGACAGTCACAGCAACCGTGGCGACTGGACACGAGGAAATTACTCATGAGGGACAAAACGCCCCGCAGAGAGTGCTCCCAAGTGCCCGTCGCTCCTCTGGGTACAGGAAACATCACAGAGCACTGGGATTCTAAGTCTACACTGTCTCCAACCCCTCCCGCCCCAAGAATGGGGGCCCCTGCATCCTGAGACCCGTCCCCAGGGACCCTGCACAGCTGCACTTCACGCGAGAAGGCGAGACTTCCCGGAGCCCCGGACGCCGTGCTGCAGGCACTGGCCCTCCCCACGCCCCCACCCCAGCAGCCTGAGGCTGCTCGACGCCCCCAGGAACCAGAGAATAACGGAAATGAGTGCGGCTGGCAGAAGGGCACTGAGAACTCCAGACCGCTGCCACGCGAAAACGTGGCCAAGCATTATCAGGCTCTTTTTTTTCTCCCCAAGAATCCAGAAAACCGGATATGGGGGTAAAGCGTTGCGACTTGACGCAAGCGACTCACTCAAAAACATCTTAAAACACAGGACGGCCCAACCAAGACGCCTCTGCAGGCCGAATCCGGCCGTCGGGCGGCCAGTTTGAGACCCCTGTGTCTACGGCACGCTGGGGCGGCGACCCCACCGGCCCCTGGAAGGCCAGATAGCCACTTACGAAGGAGGAGAAGGACGGGAGGAGGATCCTGAGTACATTGCACCCAAATACGAAGCTGAGCACCAGCAGCCAAGCCCAGCGGTCGGCCTCGGCCGCGCTCATCTCGGAGGCTCACGGCGCCGCCAGCTCGGCTAAAACAGCTCCACCTGGGACCAAGCCGGAGGCCGGGCGTGCGCAGTGAGCCCAGCGGCCCCGCCGCCGCGCCTGCGCACTGCGCCGCACTCGGGGAGGCGGGGCCGTCTCTTGCTCCGGGCTCTGGTTAACGCCAGCCTTGCCCTTGGCCTTCCCGGCTTCCGTAGACTTCTCGGACCCGTCCCACCACCCCGCGGAACCTGTTTTCCAGATTCGGCCTCCACCAAGTCTCTGGTTTTGTTGTATCTGCAAGCCACTTGTGTGGTTATGTAATTAATACTTTCTTTAAACTGACTCACCTTTATTCCTAAATACATGTATTTTTAAATAAACCTTTCCGTAAATAGAAGCCTACGGTAATGATAGTAGCAAGTAACCGTAAAAAGAAAAACGTTTTGTAAGTAGTTTTTAGTAAGTAGTGTTTACATTTCAAAGCTAAACATTGTAATAAATCTAAGTAATTTACAAAACTGCATACCTGAGGTCCTGCTTACATTCAGCCTGTAATAAAGTAGCCTACATTTATGGGAAGATGAGGTTTTACAGCGAAAGAATCCTAACTCACAGTTATGTGTAGTAGGTAAAGCCTCTTCTGCCCTGGTTGGAGTCTGAGAACTAATTCCCAATCAGAATGAATCGAGGAGCTGTGGTTCTACAAATTTCTGATTAAAGAAAACATGTGAAGCGAAACTATTCGATAGCGGTAGAGGGAATTATTTCCATGGAGAGGTTTCTTGGCCGGTAGGTGATGCTGAACTGACCAAAACAAAAGACAGGCTTGGAGCCTGCTTCTGCTCCATAGCCTTCCCCTCCAGCTGGACCATCCAAGGCAGCCTGGCTGCTAGCTCCTCTACCCACTAAAGGTTTGGAAGGATTGGAAGTAGAAACCACCTCGTGAAAAGCGACAGCAGATCCTCTGGCCTCCATCTCCCGGCCCCCAGTCTCTGCTTTTCAGGCGGAAGAGGAGAGCATCGCCTGCTCCCCACCCGTACCACACCCCATCCCAGTGCCACATCCCCGCAGGAGGAGGATCACCAATTCCTGGTGAGACGAGAATTTGACAGAAAACCCTGGAGAATGTCCTGGACTGTACAACAGTGGTAGGAGAGGACCAGCAGTACCTGGCCAGTGTGAACAACTCAGCTCTCTCCTATTGCTCCATCTGGGCAGCTCTTCAGAAGTGCGCTAACAATTAAAGGCTGCCAACACCATCCGAGTACCACACTAGGCCGTCAAGTTAAAAAGAAAAAAGTATCCGTCCCATAGAAAATAAAGACTGTGATAATGTCACAAATGGATTTCAGTCCAGAGCAAGACTGGCAGAAAATACTAACACCATTGGGGGTTTTCATCAAACCATTTCTTGTTCAGAACAAACAGGCCTTGGAACCTCTAACATAATACAACAATTCCTCTTCATAGGACTTCAGAGAATGTGTTTAGCAAGCCCTATATCAGTGACTTTTATGTTGATTTTAAACCAATCACGACTGAGATTGGAGAAATGAGTACTCTAACAGAGACCAACTCTCCGTCAGAGACTCAGAGGAGTGTCAGCAGGGACCAGAGACGTGCCCAGAACTGAGCGATTTAGGGCCAGTGACTGAGGGTGGCCCACCTGAGGCAGAGTCTTCTCAAGACAGGCACACCCAGAAGGCAACACTGAAATGCAAAGTGAAAATGAGATTGCCTCGACTATTCCCAAAACAGGGAAAACAGAGGGGACAAAGAGAAGAAACAATTTAGCAGGAACTGAATTTACCTCTTCTTAGCTTTGCCCGCTTGGTTTTGCTAAATGAAAATGATGATGATCACATACCAGGTTGAATCAAAGAACAGACTGACAATCTTTCCACCGGGAACTAGGGGTACCTCAATATTCAGAGTAACTTAGGTAAAATCTGCGGTGTTTATTTCAGTAACGGGCTGTCACAAACTAAGCACAGACAGATACCTCACTTGCACAAATTTTATAGCCAGCATATTGCTCAGTGGCTGTCAGAGGACTGGACATGTCTATATGTTGGCAGCCAGTTTTAGGTCCAAGATAGCTAACGATGAATGAAGTATTAGGATCTCTTGGAAAACTGTATTTTAACGTAGTTGAGTATTCAAGCATTCTTGTGTGTGTGTGTGTGTGTGTGTGTGTGTGAGGAAGTAATCAGAGAGGAAAATATCATAGATTGTAATTCAAGCTATTTTGTTGTTTTTTAAACTTGTTAAACTTGTTGAACTAGTTTTTAAAAAGCATTTCTGCAAAATTTTTAAATGCAAATGTTAAATATCTTTAAAAGCAGCGAGGTTATTGCCTGACGGTGGTCAAACAACATTGTGAATGTACTGAATGCCACTGGACTCTATGCTTTAAAATGGTTAATTCACGTCATGTGGATTTCACCTCAATTTAAGAAAAATATTGCTACAGCCAAATAACCTTTAAAATGTTTTTATTTTTGTCTCTTTGTTATGCTAAGCCCTTCTGAATATGCAAAATTCAACAGGTTAAAAGTTAATCTTCTTATTGTTATTAGTGCAATAAATTTCACTTAGACCTCAAATTCTCACAGGCTTTTACTATGTCCAGAAATTTATCCCTAAATAAAACTGTCATTAGCTTTTTCTTTTTAAAAAATTATTCTAAAATAATTTCAAACTGAGGAAAATTACAAAAAATATAAATGGTATCAAGAACACCCAGTACCCTTTTTTTATATTCACCTACTTTAACATTAACATTTTAGCCCATTTGCTTTATCTCTTTCAAAATATCACTAAGAATATTCCCTTATATAATCACAGTACATTCATCAACTTCAGTGAAGTTGACATTGATACAATACTTTAATCTGCCATTTGTGTTCGTTCCAGTTTTGTCAGTTGACTGAATAATGTCCTGTGTAACATTTTCCCTCCATTACAAGATCTAGCCCAGGGTCAGGCATTGCATTTAATTAACATGTCTCTTTGGCCTCCTTTAATCTGGACCATTTCCATAGCCTTGCTTTGTCTTTTATTACATTAACATTTTGGAAGAATTCGAGTACAGTTCCTCTACATTCTCACCAATACTCACATGGTCAGTCTTTTAAATCTTAGTCATTCTAGTAGGTGTGTAGTTGCATCTCACTATAGTTTTTTGCTATATTTGCATTTCCCTAGTGACTACTAATATTGAGCAGGTTTTTACATGCCTATTTGTCATTCTTATATCTTCCTTGATGAAGTATCTGTTCAAATCTTTTGCCCCCTTTTTTTACTGAGTTGTTTATTTTCTTAGTATAGAGCTTTGAGTTCATTCTGAACACAAGTCCTCTCTTTGGTATATCCTTTACAAATATTTTCTCAGTCTGTGGTTTATCGTTTCATTCTTTTAGAGGTGTCTTTTGAGGAGTAGATTTTAAACTATAGTAACAGAAAGTTAATCTGCCTGGGGCTGAGGATGTGATCAAGATTGGCTGAGAAAGGACAGCAGAGATTTTTTTCCAGGTGATTTGCATGTTCTAAAACTGGATAGTGGTGATGATTGCACAACTGTGTAGATTTACTAAGAATCATTGAATTTTACACTTAAGGCAGGTGAGTTTTATGCAGTGGGTTTTTACCACAATTAAAATTTTTTTAATTTTAAAAATTAAAAAAATGTTTAATTTAAAGGGATTAAAGGCTTCTGTGTCTCAGACACTTTACTAACTGCAGGATATAATATTTTTAAATAGAATATTGATTTATTTTCAATAAATTTATTTGTTTTTGGCTGCAATGGGTCTTCATTGCTGCACACAGGCTTTCTCTAGTTGTGGTGGGCGGGGGCTACCCTTCGGTGTGGTGCAGGGGCTTCTCATTGCGATGGCCTCTCTTGTTGTGGAGCACAGGCTCTAGGCACATGGGCTCAGTAGTTGTGGCACACGGGCTTAGTTACTCCACAGCATGTAGGATCTTCGCAGACCAGGGCTTGAACCCGTGTCCCTTGCCTTGTCAGGCGGATTCTTAACCACTGTGCCACCAGGGAAGCCCTGCAGGGTATAATATGTTGAGGAACCAAATGTCCTCAGTCCTTGTTCTCCTGGGGCTTAACTAAACAAATAAGTGTAAGTATTGTCAATAATTGCCAGCAGGGCTTCCCTGGTGGCGCAGTGGTTGAGAGTCCGCCTGCCGATGCAGGGGACGCGGGTTCGTGCCCCGGTCCGGGAAGATCCCACAGGCCGCGGAGCGGCTGGGCCCGTGAGCCATGGCCGCTGAGCCTGCGTGTCCGGAGCCTGTGCTCCGCAACGGGAGAGGCCGCAACAGTGAGAGGCCCACGTACCGCAAAATAAAAATAAAATAAAATAATTGCAGCATACAAGTTTTTAGAAGGTACACACAGATTCATCTAAGCAACTGCCGCTCTCCTAGTTCCCAGGCTGGATGACAGGTTTATGGGTGCTCATTAGATTGTTAGTAAATAACATAAAATAAAAGAGGGTGGGAATTCCCTGGCAGTCCAGTGGTTAGGACTCTGTCCTTTCCCTGCCCAGGGCGCAGGTTCGATCCCTGGTTGGGGAAATAGGATCCCCCAAGCCGCGCATGGCACGGCCAAAAAAATAAAAAATAAAAATAAATAAATAAAAGACCTCTAAACGGGTCTCCCTGCTTCTGCCCTTGAGCCTCTAAGACCCAGAGCAGTCAGAGTGGTCCTTTAAAAGAAATAAAATAAAATATAATAGGGTTATGGATGAAATAATAATGTTATGTGCACCATTTAAAATTTTTTTTTCAAAAATGTTGTACGAGGACGGGGATTCCCCAGTGGCGCGGTGGATAAGACTCTGCGCTCCCAACGAAGGGGTC